TGAGGGGGAAAACGAAGGAAATCAAGTGCCTCGTGCTTTTCCATCGGAATTAGTAAAGAGAGCCGGCGGCAGCAGGAAGCAGAAAATTTCCATGAAAAAAATGTCCGCCTGTGTGGGACGCGCTACCGAGGCAGCTAAGCCGGTAGTCCTCTCCCGCTCTCCTGGCAGCGGCTGCTTCTTCGGCCAGTTATCCGAGTTATCATAGAGCTTCCGGCCAAGGCACGATTAAGCATAATTTTCTCTGCCGCGCCGAAAAGCCAGGCCTCCGGACGTCCCACACTCGCGCAAAAATGAACACTCGCGAAAAGCGACGACGACGGGCGCGTGCGCGCGATCGCCGCCTTAGGAAGGGGGCGAAAGGTCCTCGCGAGCAAAGTGGGAACCCCCCGTCCTCGCGATGTATATATAGAGGCCTTGATAAACGTCGGGTCGACGCAGTTATCGCGCAACGGACGGGATGCCGGGGACGTCGCTGCTGCTGCCGTTGCTGCTGTCGGTGGTGCTGGTGCTGGTACTGGTGGCGTGGGCGCCAGGCATCGAGGCCGCCTACGGACGCGGGGGCCCGGGGGCGCGTTTCGGCAGGGCGCCGCTCCTCGAGCGCTTCGCCTGGCGAATCCTCGACTGGAACTACCCAAGCGAGTTGAGCAGGCAACAGGCCATCGCTAGCGGGGAGTACAGACCGGAGAACGCCCTCCCCGTCGGCATCGAGATCTGGCGCGACAAGCTCTTCGTCACCGTGCCCAGGTGGAGGAACGGTCAGTTGATTATACGGGCCGAAGGATCGGACCGTCTCCCTCGTAGACACCAGCCTAACGGAAGTTCCCTTAGACGATGCCCTTCGCGCTTCCCCGTCATGGGTGGTGCGTCGCTCCTTCTTCCTCGCCTCGCCGCCTTCTTCTTCTTCTTTTGGAAGGATAGCAGGGCGAGGTGGGGGGTGGGGGTAGGGGGGGGGAGAGAAGCGAGGCGTCACACGCGACCCCATCTTCTAGGGGGTGGGGGGGGGGAGAGAAGCGAGCCGTCACACGCGACCCCATCTTCTAGCGCGAGCGTAAGAGTGTCGGGGAAAGATATTTATCGTCAACATTAACGAATTCCCAGCGCCCTTATCTTCACGACGAGCTGGCTGCCTTAAAGCGCTTAGACGAGCGCGTGCGCCACTACCACCACAACCACCATCCCCTTATCCCCCCCCACACACACACACACACACACCACCCACCCTCCGCTCCACGGGTCTTTAAGAGCCGTTCTTTGCCAGGACTCGCTCCACGATATTATGTCAAAGTCGCCGAATCGTACGGGCGAGCGTAAATCGTGAGACGCTAAATATCGGAGATTCGTAATCTTAAGTATAGTTTTGCTTTGGTCCATAAATGGTATTGGAATTTTTTATCTTTTTGATGAAACGAGAAGCTTCGGCCAATGCTTAAGTTTAACTAATCTTTGCTTTGAAGAAGATGATAGAAATTAACGTTAAGTTAATTATTAAGGACTAAATAGGACTTGTTTTTAACGCGTTGGTGAAAGACAATACGACAGTTAGGAAAGAGCGACTCGAATCAAACGAATTAATAAAATGCGAGCGATACGTAATGGTTTGAGCGATAAGATTGAAAATTTCATAAAATATCAAAATGATAAATTGAAGTTTTTTCTTCTATTTTTCTTTTTTGTTCATGTTCGTTATTACATTTATCTAATAAATTACGTTACACAAGGATTTATAATCGTGCATACTCGACCGCCATGTGCGTAGGGACTTGGTTCTTTTCGGTAAAATGAGTTAAAACGTTTACGTGTGCACGACGAGCGAGCAAAAGAACATTAAACAATTATGTCTAATTACGTGTTTTCTTCATTGTACTATTTAGCATTAAATATACGGGTAACTCTCGTGTAAGAGGCCAATATACTTTCCAGGCACGGTGGTTGAACTTTTTCGGATTAATTATTATATAATAGTTATTGCTTTGTTTTCTCATTTTCTGCCATAAAAAATTTATGTTCATTATTTTTGTGAAAATAATACGAGACTACAGGTTACTTTAAAATGTAAATTAATACGTAAATAACAGTTTTACGGTAGTTTATCATAAAATTACATCTTTTTATTTATCATTTCTGTTATGTTTTTTTTTTTATTTATTTATTGAAACAATCAAACTAAATTACTTACATATATATATACGATTAAGTAATTTAATAGTTTATTCACTAATAAGTAGATTAAGTAGAGGATTGAGTTGGAAAAATTGGCCGACGTATTTTTTGCATTAAATGCCACATCAAGTTTTTTCATAACGATTCTGATACTATTAAAATTCACATATTTAAGTAGTTTAAAATTTTAAACTAAATATTGCTTACGTAATTAATAGATATATAAAGCGATATTTTCATAAAAATTCATTTTATAATCATTATAAAATGACGTTTGGTTAGATTACTCATTAAAATATATTCTATTAGTAAAAATTCTCATTATAAAGGAAAGTATCGTTATTTGTTTCTTTTTCTTTTTTTTTTCTTTTTCTTTTTTTTTTTTATTAAAAGTAAATTCGAAAGGATATTACAGTCGGTACTAAAAATTTTTGCTTCGTTTCGTACTTTTTTCTCTCTTTCTTTATTTTTTCTTTTTTCGTAAAATTATAAGAAAGACAAATTAAAATATTATTAAATTATAGTATATATATATATATATATATATATATATATATACATATTGCATTGAAAAATGTTTAACACTATACAAGCTACACAGTGAGCGTGCATAAAGAGTGCTACATAATTAACATAAATGGGAAAAATATAATATTAAGTAAGCATTACAAACCATGTATTTAAATGCAATATAATTAAATGTTTTCTTGTTATCCGACAAAACTTACAAAATAAAAAAAAAAATAATAATAATAATAATAATGAAAAAATAACTCAAATTCCTCGTTCTATAATATTATATGAAGAAATCTGTATAAGAATTTTCGCAATTAACCGAAACACACGACTTTTAAAAATACTTCAAGTGCGATGCATTTTACCATAATGCAAACGAAAGGATCTTCATTAATGGATCAAAGATAAAATGCGTGTACTTAACATTTATTAATCTACGTATTTAGTCTGAATATCTCAATTGACGATTAAAAAAAATCGCCTGCATAATCAAGCTAATAATTTAAATACACGAAATATCAAAAAAGTTGTGCGATGAATGTATCGGTAGCTCGTCGTAATTATAAAATGTGGGAACTCATTATTATAATTATTTATAAAATGAGCTACAATGAAAAAGACCAAAAAAAAAAAAAAAAAAATAATAATAATAATAATAATAATAATAAGAAGAAGAAGAAGAAGAAGAAGAAGAATAAGAAGAAGAATAAGAAGAAGAGAGAGATAAAAAGTAACGTTCACAAAAGTAGTTATTCATATTAGAGTATTAAAATTAATGCTAATTACTGCCAATCTTGTTTTCCGATCTATCATTTTTAAATTCAAATAAATATCAATTTATTTATAAACGCAGTTAGACCATATTTTGGAAAACTGTGAAAAAATTACATAAGACACGTTATCGCGTAAAAATTTAACTCCAATGTAAACACTTGAATTACATTTGAGAAAAAAGTTCCTCCTACATCTTCTATTTTCTTATGTTGATTTTCCCGTGCCCGTGTGCGTAAGTCAAATGTATTCGCAATTTATAGAAATCGACATATTAAGAAATTACAACTCAGTGGCTTTAGACCTGACTTATCCGCCATTAATTAAGAGCGCGATGCAAAATATCGCATACGTCTGAGCTATAAATGCAATTAAAATTTCTGAGATTGCCAATCTACGAACTCAACGCGTATCCCGTCTTTTCGAATGCGATCCCGCCCCCGGATACGGCCACTCGATCCTTTCCCACCGCTGCGGAACTTTGGCCCCACGATTATCGGAAGTGCTCGGTGCAACCTGTCGCGAGCTAATTCAATTTCGGCTGCAACTGCAAAGGTGCGGGGGCGCGCTACAGATGACGCTACGTGCCTCGCGACCGAGGCTGCACTTGATGTGACATAGAGATCGTCACGGCGCGGCGATCTAGGGGATCGACGGGGGCAACAGCCGTAGTGGGCAGGGGGATGGGGAGGGGGGGGCGGGGAGGAGAGGAAGGGGATTTCGAGCGAAAGCATTTTTCGAGGAATAAGTAATCGGCTCGGCTAATTACGTATTAATTATACATTTAAAAAGAAAATGTAGTTTAGTTTTTCTTATATTTTTGCCATTGTTGGACATTCATTGGACGAGCCGCGCGCGCTACCGACCGACTAACTGCTTGACTTTATGTAAATTTCATATTGCCGTTGATTTTCTTTAAATTGGGTAAATCGATTTTACGGAGCCTTTGAATTAATCTAACCAAACGCGAGCGCAATCTGTCGAATGTAGAGCATAGTAGATTCAAACATAGTTTTAAGTCATAAAACGAAAAATAGCTCCGAGATTTATATACAATTTAATATTATCCACAAATTGATTTAACTATCAAGCTCTTTTAAACTTATTTTCCTTGTTTTTTTTTTTGTTTTTTGTTTTTTGTTTTTTTTTGTTTCTTTTAATTATTTTTTATTTTTTTTTTTTATTTTTTATTGCCTGCTATTATATATTATTTCGAATATGATTGCCGCCTAAAGCAGAGTAAAGGGCAGCGTAAAATGTTCGTTAGGTTATAGTTGATGTCTCCTATCAACATATTTGTAAGCAGTAAGCGTTAATAAGTGAATTACGCTTTATGCGAATTTCATGAAAATGAAGTAAACTCTTGCAACTCTTTTCTTCGGATAGAATTCAAAATTTTGAAAATTTCTTATCAACATCTATAGTTACAATATTTTACCGAATTAGCTTTGATTAATTATGTAAGAATTATTATTTCACTTGCCATTATTGTAATTTATTATTGAAATTTTAATAAAGTACGAATGTTATAAAGACAGCTAGAAAATGCAAAATATTTCAATAATGATTGATAGCGGTAAAGCTTGGTTGCCTAGATTCACTTTGAAATAAAATTTAAATATTCGTTATAATAGCTGGTGGTGAGATAAAATTTTCATTCATCTCGTACCAATCTCCTAGAAATTGTAATAATGTACTTTCATAATCTTAGATGATAAATACTCAATATGTTAATAGATTTTTAAGAAAAATCTAAGTAGTCTGCTTTTTGGGAACGTCGTCCTAAAAAATTTTCCCCTAAATTTTATTCCTTCTTCTGGGCCAATTATTTATTATCCTCAACATGTTTATTATTCACGTATTTTTGTTTATAATAATAATTATCTCGACATTACTCAAATAATTGATATTAACTTTCATGTTCACAACGGCAGCAGGCAATCATCGTGCCTTTGAAAGCCTTTCACCAAACCTATATCGTAATAACGAAGGATGATTGAAGTTAAACACATCGGTTGTTTACATTGCACTGGCATATTACATACATTGTGTACTGTTCTGGTATAACTAGAAAATTAATCACAGATTGCGAAATGATATATAACGGTCAAATAACGAGTTCATTTGTAAAACGAAAGTGCTAATGACGGCTGGCGTGAGACTCGGAGAATTGAAATTCTCTGTACGTAATGTACAAACTTACATGTTATGGGCTCGCGTGTCATTTTTTGCGAAGGTGTATAATAAGGGGAGAAATCGCGCAACAGTTACAACGAGGAAAAACTATGTATGCACGTACGACACGAAT